CAGATGGGGCCCGCTCCCAGTTCTGCCGTTCGTTCTTCTGCGGCGACCGCTTCTCCTTTCTGCCTTGACCTCTTCTTCTTCTCCTCCTCCTCCGCCTCCTCCTCCTCCACTTCCTCCTCCTCCTCCTCTTCTTCTCTACTCTTCTCCCTCGACACTCTCTACAGCCTCATTACCTGACTACCCTCTCTCGCCCCCCACCCCACTCACCCACCCTCACCGTCGCATTTCCCTCCCCGCACCAGAGGAGCCTCTTGTGGGATACCTATATCTCTCCCGCTTAGAGATCGGCAATTCAGTCCCGGCCTTTCGCGCGACTCCACGCTCCTCCCGGGTTCAATTCTCGTGTCGTGCTCCGCCCATCTGGTCCGCGGAGTCGTGGGTTGCGCGATCCAGCACGCGTCGTTTGGGTAAGTTTTCTACATACTTCTGCAATTTAACTCCCATGCCCATCCAGCACCTCCGCTTCCCCCGAGAGTGTCCCATGAAAGTTCTTGCAAGCTATTTCGAGTCCACTATGCGCGCGCGTTGTCCCCGAAGTATCATCTCTTCCTTTGTCTCGCCGCAAATAGCACTGCACTTTGTGCTCAATTTCTTTGATATTCTCTTTGTCTCCCAACATTGCGCCATTATACTAACACAACAATTTAAATGTTAGGCATGTTCACAACCTGCACAACGTTGAACCATCTGTGATCGATTGATTCGTGTCTACAGCAACCTAAGAGACCATGGTACGTCGGCAAGCTCGGAGTGCGAAGTCTGGGGTTAATTGGGGTTTGCGGGGTGGTCACAAACGTTCGAACACAAAACTCACGCCGCGTCTCATAGGTCCTGTTCAAGCGGAAACCAGTTCAATACCTTCCACGGCCCGTCATTGAAGATGACAGCTCCGAAGTACGTATATTGCGCGGTCAGAATTTTCAATACAGTCTATGCATGGGGCTCATTGAAGTTGCAGGTCTGGGTCATCCCAGAGACCAACGAGGTCTTCGTTCACTATGAACCCTACCTTCAGCGGATGGACTTCTACAAGCAGAAAAGGTTCATTTGCGAGATCACGGGTCACTCGGGATTGACATTTTTCGAGGCTTTGAAGAGCGAGGTATGTGACAAAGGCAACCGACCTATGCTATCTCCGCTAACAGATTGCATCAGATGGAGGAATCGCGCGAAGTTAACAGTGCTTTTCCCGACGCCTTGAAAGAACCAATTCTCCGCAGGATTCAGTTTTCCACAGTGTCGCGGGTCGACAATCTCGGTATGTCTGATTCTTTCCTTGAAAATTGCTATCGCTGAGACTGACAATGGAGCGCAGTGGACGAGATCTTTGAGGTATATACTAGAGGATATGTAGATCTGCTGATGGAGACGGATGCTGACCCGGCGCGCAGGAATTTAAGCAAGACTTCTATCCCGGGGAACCCGTTCTGATTCTTCTCGACGACAACACCCGTCTGCATGGTATGATAAGGGACAAGGCCAACTTTGCCGAACAACTCCACCCGGATGGAACCGTCAAGCTGCCCGCCCATAGCACCTATCTTGTCAAGGTTCTGGACCGCCCAAATGAGGAAGCGCTGCTGGATCAGGACCATATCACCCGAGACCGGAAGACTTTCACCAAGCAAATGCTGCGCGCCTTCATCAAGAACAACGTGACGCGGGAGGCGTGGAATGGCGCTCCTTGGTTGGTGAAACCTTCGATTGCTGAGGAATACAGAATACCGACCGAAGTACCGAAGCACTTGCAGTATGGCGCCAAGGTTGCCGAAAAGAAGGCTATGAAAAAGGCCGACCAGGAGGGCTTTTTCGGCTTCTTTGCTTCGCAGCAGCTACCAGAACTGAAACCCGCAGTTAAAGGACAAAAGCTCAAGCCATCGCAACAAGATATTGTTCGCTCGAAGGAAGCCCAATTTCTGGAATATCAGCGGTCATTGAACGGCAATCCATCGTTCCTTCTTGCGCATAAGGCTAACGGAGCTGCTCGTCCCCCCAAGCCTCAGGAAACGGAGAAGAAGTCGCAACCGCAACCGCAACCTCTTCCCGTCGTGGTTGTCAAGTCCGAACCTCCAAAGGAGCCGACACCGCCGCCAATTAAGTACCCTATTGAGGATTTGGATATTGCGCCAGACCCCGAGAAGAAAAAGCAGCGCCCAGCTCTTAGCTATATGACCACCGACGAGGTTGATGACTCAGATGATGAAGAGCTCCTGCACAGTACTCTCGAGATGGAGTCTGTGGGACGTCTTTTGGAAACGTGGAATACGCTTAATGTCTACTGTGAGGTCTTTCAACTGGACTCCTTCACTTTTGATGACTTCTTTCAGGCCATGCGATTCTCTTCTGAGGATGTGGACTGTGAGCTGTTTGTTGAAATCCATTGCGCTGTGCTGAAGAAGCTCGTCAAGGCGGAGAAGGATGAAGAGGGTGCTGTACAAATTTCTCTTCCAGAACTCCCTGACGAAGAATCCGACGACTCGGAGGCGGAAGAGGTAGAAGGGGAGGCAGAGCCTACCCCTGAACCGGAGCCGGTGGTGACAAGGATGACGACTCGGAGTAGCTTAGCCAAGGCCGAAGCGGAAAATCTGAAGGCGCAGGCAGAGCGTGAGGGCTCCAGTGCTGAAGAGATCCCGGTTCATCGAGCCGCCGAGATGTTCGGAGAATATGGTTGGATCGAGCGTCTGCGGAAAAGGGATTTCCGGAATGGTGGTTGGGAACTGGTCATGGTCGGGCTCCTCAATCGACTTTCAGGCCGCCCGCGCATGAAGGAAGTCTGCAACAAGATTCTCGAACATCTTGCTCCTTTAGATGCCGAACCAACTCAGGAAACTGCTCAGTACCAATACGCCACCATGGATATCAACCTTCGCATCCATGCATTGCAAATTATCTGCATGCTCAGCCTTGAAACGAAAGCCATTCGAAATTACCTCGAGGAGTGCAGCAACCAGATGACGGAGTTTCGCAAGGAGAAGATCGAATACCAGAAAGCACGCAAAGTAGTGTAAGTATCACGATTCCGCACCCGCCCGTTCTGTTTGACGCTACATCAATCATGATGTCGTTTCTGTGCTTGTCCGAGAATATCGCTTATTGACTTATCGTTGTTTCACAGTCTCGAGGAGCTTCGTCGCTTACACCAGGAGCGCAAGGCTCTTCAGCCGGAGCCCGAGAAGTCTCCATCGCCTGCGCCGGAACTGGACGCCCTGGAGGACTCGAAGATGACTGGCATTGACGGTGACTCCGATAACTCCGATCAAGAGGCAGCTCCCCAGCGGAGTCTTCGTGGTGGCTTGGACCGACAACTTGAGCGCAAGCGCAAGCAAGAAGAGGAGCGCGAGCGGAAAGAACAATTGGCCAAGCAACCTAAGGGAACCAAGCAGTATCAGAGAGTGCTCAAGAAGATCGAAGATCAGAAAGCCGCAGTCAAGAAGCTCGAAGATAAGATCGAGGTTATCGACAACGATCTGAGGGAGGCCGATTGCCCGCGAACCAGATGCCTCGGCAAGGATCGTTTCTGCAACCGCTACTGGTGGTTTGAACGAAACGCGATGCCGTATGGAGGCATGCCCAACAGTTCCACAGCAGAGGCACAATACGCGAACGGCCGCTTATGGGTCCAAGGTCCGGATGAGTTGGAACGCGTGGGCTTCATTGACGTATCCGACGAGTACAAGAAGCAATACTTCAAGGAGTTCCAGACTACGCCAGCAGAGCGCAAAAAACAAGAGGAAGGACCAACGCAACTGACGAACGCAACCGAATGGGGCTATTATGACGAGCCAGATGCTATCGAGCAGCTGCTTGACTGGCTGGACTCCCGTGGTAACCGAGAGTCAAGGCTGCGCAAGGAGCTACAACTGCAGCGTGACAAGATCGCTACATACATGCAACACCGCAAGGAGTACTTGGAGCAGACGGCAGAACGGGCAGAGTCGGAGGAAATCCCCAGCAAGCGAGTCATGACGCGCAACAAGACCTACGTGGACGACAACAAGCATCGTTGCATGCGCTGGAGAAACAACACGGGCATCAATGACAATGGACACCTTCATGTGGATGCCTCCCGCCCGACCAAACGAGCCAAACGAGCTATCGACGAGTCGAAGGAGATCAAAGCAACCAACCGGCAAGGCAAGCCTCTGACAAGACAAGGCACACGCTACAACTTCTAGAGCAGCCGCCGTCTCGCTTTCATTGATTTTCTGTTCTGGGATTAGAGGTGTTATAGGATTATTGGATCTGGGCCTGGTCCAGGCTATACATTTGGGTGGCTCTAGCTACTAAAAAAAGGAGTTTCTGATAGAACTTGCATGAGCGATGTGACCATGATTACTTTTGTCAAATTCAGCTTCTTACTCTATATATACATGCATATTGAAGGGAAGCTGTGGGAGAAAGCAGAGCGAGGGATCTCGGCCCTCTACTGAACATTGACGGGAAAGGTACATACGTATTGAATCAAGAATGAAGCAGTTGTCGCGCCTGGAAGAGGGCTGCATGAAACTAAACCATGGCCTTGGACTCGTTCATTGTATTCGTAAATGCAGGAACTGGAAGCAGTGATAGCAGGCCGAGCAGCAAGAGTGAGATTATGATGCTGCCGCCGCCGCTGCCTCAGGCATAAGGAGCGATGAGCGTGAATAATTGTTCGGCTGCGGTTGGCCTACCAAACAGGAGAAATCCACTTCCGCCACCCAGTCGGATGCAGGGATGTTATATGACGGTAACTGCAGCACTAATAGGTGTCGGTGACAGGTATCGGCATGTCAGGGCTGTAACGTCATCTCCGTCTGAATCTTGTGCCCGCATGCTGTGTTGCCTCTTCCGACCGTTGGATCAATCCAGATAATAATCAAATCAAATGCAGAGTCAGGGTGGTGACTTTGCCAGCTGATCATCTCTACCTAGGCTTATCTGCCCCCTTCGGTTTGCTGCGGCCTTTCTTGTCCTCTACATTCCCCTCCCCGCACATTCTCTTACATTCTCCCGCGCCCACTTCTCCCTCCCTTCTACATCACCTTTGACGACCATATCCATGGCCGCAATCATCTGTTAGCCCGTGACCTGCTCGACAACCTCAGATTTGACCTCGCGCCAGGACTGCATTGAAATCGGTGACGGTATCAGATTATGCGCCGCCGCTGACTGGCCTATTATCAAAATTTGAATTACTGTTCGTCCAGTCAAATAGTCCTTCCAGCCCAGCTCACAGCCTTCTTCAATGGAGCAAGTCGCTCAGTCAAGGCCGGCCCGAGGTCCAGCAGCCAGTGACGCAAAAGAGAGATTAGCCGTGGGCACGACACAGGCGACCGCGGTGGACGATGCGTCCTCCCCACACCAAGCACAGAACGGCCGCGGGGCCACGAAAGAGGTGAACAAGCGCAGCGTAGACTATATCGTACGCAGCGGTGTTGCGGGGGGTCTGGCGGGGTGTGCGGTAGGTTTTTTTTCCCCATGATCCCAAACGTTGCAGTTGGCGGTAGACGCATGGACTGACAGTGGACAAACATCGTAGGCCAAAACCGTTGTCGCGCCCCTCGATCGGGTCAAGATTCTCTTTCAGGCCTCGAATCCGCAATTTGCAAAATACACCGGCAGTTGGTTTGGTCTTGTCGCGGCCATTCGAGACATCAAACGCCGCGAAGGCCTCCAAGGCCTCTTCAAAGGACACTCTGCGACTCTCCTCCGTATCTTCCCTTATGCTGCGATTAAGTTTCTTGCCTACGAGCAGTACCGGGCGGTGATGATCCCGTCGCCCGACAAGGAAACGCCGCTGCGCCGACTCGTCTCCGGGAGTATGGCGGGCATCACGTCGGTCTTCTTCACATACCCGCTAGAGTTGATCCGAGTGCGATTAGCGTTCGAGACGAAACGAACCGCTCGCTCTTCCTTCACCGACATCTTCCGACAGATCTACAACGAACGGGTGACGCCCCCCTCGACGTCCACCGGGGTATCTGCGACGCAGGCCCCCATCACGGCGACGGCCGAGACTGTCTCTGCCGCCGTGAACAAAGCCGTCCCGCACTCGGGACTGGCAAACTTCTACCGCGGCTTCGCCCCGACGCTTCTGGGCATGCTCCCCTACGCTGGCATGTCCTTCCTGACTCACGACACCGTCGGCGACTGGCTGCGCTCCCCCTCCCTCGCCCCCTACACCACCATCCCCAAATCCGAATCGACCGCCCAATCCAAGAAGGGCTCTCGACGACTCCAGCTGACTGCCGCTGCGGAACTCACCTCCGGTGCTCTGGCGGGGCTGGTCTCCCAGACATCTTCGTACCCGCTGGAGGTTGTCCGGCGCCGGATGCAGGTCGGAGGCGTCGTCGGGGACGGCCATCGGCTGGGGATCGTCGAGACGGCGCGCACCATTATGTTGGAGCGAGGCTTCCGAGGCTTCTGGGTCGGTCTGACGATCGGGTATATGAAGATCGTCCCCATGACGGCCACCGGGTTCTTTGTCTATGAACGGTTGAAGTGGTCCCTCGGTATATAGCAACATATTTTTTTTATTCTGTCGTTTCTTTTCTAGATCTTCCGAAAGACTTGGGCGTTAGGGAAGGGGTCGAGAGTTGAGTTGAGTGTTGTCTATACCATTTGTTCATACCCATCCTTCGCCGAGACATTTGCGGTGAACGGAGTACAGAGTCTTGTACATAGAGCATATACATGATATGTTTGATGCTAGATCTTATGTCATTTCTGGATCGATTGTATGCCCCTGCGATACTTCTTGGATATCTAAACTTAACATGTAAAAGCGTAAAGTCAAACCGTACAATGATCTACAATCTTCCGCTGCAACTTAGCATAGGAAGAGAGCAAAGTCCGCAACAGGCGCTCTCCTCCAGGCTCCCCGATTGGCCCACCCGACCGCCGATGCACAGACCAATCAACGACCGGCCGCCTGGCAAAAAAGTTGCAACTCTAAATGCGCAGCGGGCCTCCATCGCAAGCACTTTAATTTTAGCCACTTGCGCAGCCAATACCACCAACAGTTTTAAAGAAAAAAAAAACAATGACCTCGCGCAAACGCAACGACCCCTTCGATCTCGCCGCCAGCGATGACGACGACCAAGACAAGGGCTACGACTCGGCCGCCGACGAAGAAGCACAGAGCAAAGGCGCGCTCCGCTCCGCCAAACGGCGCCGCGTGAACGACACTGACAATCTTCATGGGTTGGACTCGGACGACTCCGATCTTGATGTAGCATCTGACAGTGAAGACGAGAGACCCAAGGGCCAGGCCAAGGCCAAGAAACCTACGACTCGCGCTGCCACGGCAGCCTCCGGGGACGAAGATGAAGACGAAGACGAAGAAGATGCCGCCGCCGCCGCCGCACAAGAAGATATTGCTGCTACTGCTTCTTCCTTGAACAAGAAGAAGTCCCCGCTCCTGAAGAAGGACAAGAAAAACAAGACCGGCGTCGTATATCTCAGTTCGCTTCCGCCGCATCTCAAACCGTATGAACCTGGTCCCCTATCCCCCCCGTTGTGGAAATCTCATTCACACCAACGCTAACTTTCTTTGGCGTCCGTCAAGATTCGCCCTCAAAAATCTCATCGAAGCCCGCGGCTTCGGCCCGATCACGCGCGTCTTCCTGACCCCCGAGACGAAGAAGCAGCGGCGCAGCACGACAAACAAGCGCAAGACCTACGCGGACGGGTGGCTGGAGTTCGCCAGCAAGAAGACGGCCAAGATCTGCGCCGAGGCGCTGAACGGGAACATCATCGGCGGGCGCAAGGGCGGGTTCTATCACGATGACATCCTCAACCTCAAGTACCTGCGGGGCTTCAAGTGGAGCGATCTCCAGGAGCAGATCTCGCGCGAGCGGTCGGAGCGCGAGGCGCGGCAGCGCGCGGAGGACTCCAAGGCGCGCAAGGAGGATAAGGTGTTTTTGGAGGGGGTGGAGCGCGGGAAGGTGTTGGATGGGATGCGGAGGAAGAATGAGGAGAAGGAGAGGAGGAGGTTGGAGAAGCAGGCTGTGGGGGGTGCTGCTGAGGGGGCTGCTGGGGCTGCTGCTGCAGGCAAGGAGAAGAAGGATGCTAATGGCAATGGCAATGTCAAGGTTCGGCGGGTGTTTAGGCAGAATGAGGTCAAGTTGGGACGGGATAAGAGTACGGATGATTTCAAGGATCTTGGGGCGGAGACGAAGCGGGTTCTGGGGAAGATTTTCTGAAATTGTTTCAAATTGCGTGCTTGTTTGTTCTATATGAGTGTGTTTGCGGGGTGTATTGTACAGGGTGCATTTCTTTTTGCTTGGTTGGTTGGCTTATCGATATCCCAGTGTTCATGAATGGTTCCTCAAGGTTTTGTTGACTAGCTTTGAAAGATGAAGTAGCTTGTAGTGATTGAGGAGAGCGCTGCCATTATCCTCAAGTAGTAGATCTAGCCCGTGTTCAATGAGAGGTATATGTTAGTGGTCTGACACAGTTAGTCTGGCTATGCCTATCTTCAATGCCCTGGGAGTGTACCTACTAGTGTGGTCCCGGCGGCGAAAATGAAGCTATTCCAGATTGGGTGTATATTTTCTGCCACCGCCAAAACCTACCACTCTGCCCCACCATTTTTCTGGGCCTGTTCATCCCAAAAATCGTGGAATCCGTTGCGAGGTCGCGAGCGTTCTGCCGCACCAGGCGGTGTAACAGGCGGTAGGGGCGGCTGTCACTTGCATGGTTCCTGGGCTTCTGTGGGGCGCTCGGCCCATTCTGGCTTAGTAGCATTGCGCTTCCCCGCATCCGCTGAGGAGATGACGGCGGTTAGCCTAGCCTTTCAGTAGTAGTCGTGTGATGGGCCGGTGTCTAACTATTCTCAGCAGATGTCTACAACAGGAGAATGAGTGGGCTTCTTCTTGGAAGGCCCTGGTTTAGACCAGGAGCTCGATGTAAGCCAATCTCAGCCAGAGCCACAGCAATACCACGCCACCAAAGTCTACTCCAAATCCACTGCTATACTTCCCCAGCGCCGAGTTCTAGACCTGCTGGACACCCGCGCGGACCGACACCACCACCAACAACAAACCTACTCGACGCCGTTATCGCCGACCACCAACACAAGCTTCCCTCCGGACCGAGCAAGCAGACTCTCTACGAGGCATTTGGCGAGCACACCGCCGCGGGAGGCGCCGTCTCCGATCATCTGGGCTATTCCGTCGTCTCCACCCTCTTGACCCCGCGAGCCCCCAACGATGCAGAGTTCCCCGACCAGGTGCCGGACGCGGACAAAGAGCTGGCACTGCGCGTGCTGGAGTACCTGTCCCTGCAGGGGACGCCGGTCCTCGTCATGGGAACGTTCGCTATGCTCTACCAGGCCGCTATCTTTTCCCCACCGCAGCCTCGCACCACGGTCGATACCAACACGGATGATGATTTCTTTGCACCCAGCCCATCCGCCAGGAATCAAGACGACACCGACATCGACACAACCACCCGGATCTCGCGAATGATCACCGCGCTCCACCTCCCCTACCACCCGGACGACGCGCGAAGACTCATGACCATGCTGTTCCAGAACGGCGACGACGAGACCTTCTGGAAGCTATGGCGCCGGATCCCGCTGCAGGGAGCGCCGCGCAGCGCCGAAGACTACGTGATGCTGTTCCGCCTGCACGCGCAGCTGGGGGATCCGCGCCGCGCGGAACGCTGCGTGCTGATGTGGTTCCCCATGATGGCGCGCGAGGGACTCCCGGCTTCGGCTGCGCAGGGGGAGATCGCGCGGCTGGTTGTGCGTTGTATCGACCTTCCGGAGTTGGGAACCCTGAAGCGGGTCTCCGAGGGCAGGCAGTTGGATCAGTTGATGCAGATCCGGGATGAGGCTATCCAGGCGGCTGCCACAGGATCTAAAGGGGAGACTGAGCATCCGCGCAATCGGTGATGTCGAAGGGTGAGGAGCATGGGTTGTGCGAGGCTTGCTGTGTGGTTTGACTGGGGCAGTGGAGCGGAAGTACAGTACTCCTTTTTGCTCCCTACGTCCGGGCGTGTCGAATCTGTGGCTGTTGATGTGGTGATGGAGAATACCTGGGATGCTTAGCTTGCTTGACGAAGATAGCGTCAATGTGCTCTTCCTCCAGAACCTTGTCTGGGAAAGTTATCTTAGCAGCCGTGGCTTCTCCAGTTACATCACGACAACCTGTCGGTGTGATTTCAGCTTTATTCCCAAAACTTCGGACAGGCATCGGTCAATGTATAATAGGCAGAGCAACTCAATTCATGTACCAGAAAGCTTCTGTCTTGTCTCTCTTGTAGTCTCCCTGGTGTGAAGGTGTTTGGTCCATCCAAGGCGAGCCTTCTCATACACTCTATTTGCACGTTCTCATACATAGCAAGGTAGAGCCCCTCTGTTAGCCAATAGCCACGGTGATGAGTCGGAGTTATTAGATATCTCTGCTGGTCCCAATTGACCCATTTGTGATCAAGATGGTGGATATGAGTGTCAACATTGGGAGGCCGCTGATCTGCCGGATCATCAGCAGCAAGACCGAAGCGGAGTGGAAGGCGGCCGGCCGATAAGCCTCGGCTCAGCCCCAGCGCTTCTCCTCCGCATCTTGTCCCGACCACCATTGAATCTCCCTCCTCAATCCATCCACCCAACAGCTCTATCCCTAACTCACCCCTGTCGCCCTCCAGGGGATGATGACTGGCACTGCTACGACAGTATGGAGTACTTACCGAGTCTGCAGCAGGAATTCGACGAGCTGAAGCCGTCTCTCTTCGGTAAGTACGGAGACAGCCAGCCTAAACCACCTCTTATCTCACTATCCACACCCAACTAACACTAAACCACTGCTGCATTGTAGAACTCCTCGCCGAACAACAGCTCTCCGACCTCCTCCCCCCATCCATCCGCTACATCCTCGCAGTCGCCACCCACCGCCACCCGCGATACCTTCTCCGCATCCTCAATTCCTACGATGAGATCTACGCCCTTCTCTCCCTCCTCGTCGAACGATACTACCTCCGCACCTTCGGCGGCTCCTTCACAGAAAACTTCTACTCGCTGAAGCGCGAACGGGTCCTGCTCACGAAGAATGGCGAGATCCCGCGCGCCCAGATCGGCGCGCCGGGCCCCGTGCGCGATGCCCTCCAACTCCGCACGCGGGATGTGTGGAAGAACCTCCTCATCATGGTGGGCATCCCGTACCTCAAGCGCAAGCTCGACGAAGGGTACGACATCCACGCGGCGCCGCAGGCCTCGCTGATCATGAGCGGCGGCCCGCGCTACCATCCCGGCGACGAGCTCCCGCCGCGGCCCACCCTGCGCCAGCGGCTCTTCCACTACTACAAATGGTTCCTGCGGAACATCTACCCCTCCCTCAACGCGGGCTACTACCTGAGCATCCTCGCCTTCAACCTCGCCTACCTCTTCGACAACACCAAGTACTCCTCCCCGTTCCTGTGGCTGATCGGCACCCGCATCCGCCGCCTCAGCTCCGCCGACCACCGCGCCATCGCCGCGGTCCTCGACCCTCCACCAGCACCCACCACTCGCTCCCGCCCCGGCTCCAGCCTCCTGGGCCTCCTCAGCCCGCAGAACCTGCACTCCCAACTCCTCACCTCCCTGCGCTACTTCCTCCCGGCCTCGATCTTCGCCCTCAAGTTCCTGGAATGGTACCACGCCAGCGACTTCTCGCGGCAGCTCGCCCGCAAAGCCACGGAAGTGCTGGACCTTCCCGCACCCGTAGCCAACGGGATGACCCCGCCCTCGCAACGGAGATCCTCGAACAAGAAGAACCCCGACGACGCGAAATCATCCGCATCTTCCCCCGCGCAACTTAAATCAGCCCTCAAGTCTCCGACCAGCGACACGCAACTTGATGAAAAAGAACCCCAGGACCGTCGCATCCCCATCTCCGCATCCTCGTACCTCCCCATCTTCACCGTTCCCCTGCCCGCCGCGGACTCGGAGACCGCGCAATCATGTTGTCCCATCTGTTTGAACACGCTGACCAACCCGACGGCCTGCCAGACGGGCTACGTCTTCTGCTATGTGTGTGTGTTCCACTGGTTGAACGGGGAGCATCAGCGGCAGATTGATTTCATGGACGGGGAGGCCGCGGCCGGGGCGCCGTGGGAGGAGGCGGATGGGGCGCTGGAGGCGCAACAGGCCAAGCAAGCCGGCAGTGAAGATGGAGATAGAGATGAGGAGGGGAAGAGTAAAGCGAAGGGTGGTAGTCGGAGGGGCAAGTGGGAGAGTGGGAGGGGGAGATGTCCGGTTACTGGAAGGAGGGTATTGGGCGGGACGGAGGGGTTGAGGAGGGTTCTGGTGTAGAACAGATTCTTTGTGTATGTATTAACTTACAAGATTGATGAGCTTAATGTAGACTTATGAGCACTTTACCCCTTATTTTTTTTTAAAAAAAAGAGGACGATGTATATGCTTTGTCTCAAGCGGACTCCAGCCTCGTGACGTACAGTTGACTGAATGCTCGGTATGCTATTGTTAGATGTATGTACACGCTTATAAAAGCCGTAGGCCAAACTCAACACCAGCGGGCGACATATGTATCACGAGCCGAGTACTCGCCCGCACACTTCAAACACACACACACGCACACACACACACTCTCTCTCTACTCAATAACATACGGCTCGGCCCCCTCCCCAAACACCAACTCGGGTTTCTCGGCGGCGAGCTTGAGGATCGTCTGCGCGAAGACCGAGTTCGCCCACGCGAACCACGGCCGCGTGTACGCGGAGATGTTGTTCACGTTGATCGACTCGTGGACCAAGCCCAGCAGACTCGAGTTGCGGACCAGGTTCACGCACTCGGTGATCTCGGTGGTGTTGTCCGTTGTCATCGCTTGCACGAGCAGGGACATGGGCCATGCATTCTGTAGACCGACTACACGAAACAAACCAATTAGTCCTCGTCCTCTTTTCTCTCTGAGGGTTGGAAACATACAAGCTGAGGGTGAGGGGGAGGGGGGGGAACATACTATGCGGACCCCCGATGCCATGGAAATCCGTCCCGGTCAGATAGTACGGGTTCCCGGCGGGACTCAAAATCATCTTGCGTGTATTCTGGTAGACCGGATCCTGCTGGTCGACAAAACCTAACAGCGGCAACGAGAGCAGCGAGGGCACGTTCGCATCGTCCATCAGGATGCGCGAGCCGTACCCGTCCACCTCGAAGGCGTAGACGTCGCCGTACACCGGGTGATGGACGATGCCGTGCTCGCGGACGGCCTGCGCGAGCTTCTCCCCGCGGGACTGCAGGTCATCCACGACGATAGCGAGGTGGGTTGCGTTGTTGTTCCCGTCCCCCGCCGCCGCGCCGCGGCGGCGCAGCATTGCGGCGGTTTTCTGCAGCTGCACGGCCATCATGGCGTTTGGGGGGATAAAGAAGCCCAGGATAGTGGCGTCGTCACTGGGCCGGAAGGCGCTGCGGATGAGCCCCGTGTCGCCGTTGAGCGGGTTGCCGATCCCCGCGAGATTGAGGGTCTCGGTGCCCAGGGTCGTCTGGCGCTGGAAGCTGTACTCGTTCGTCACGTACTGCTGGGCGGCGTTGAAGGTCGGTTGGGACTGGGCGTCGAGGACCCGCAGCACGGTGTCGAGGGCCTGGTACCATCTCGGAGTCAGGAACTCGGTCGACCCCGTGTGCTCGTGGAACTGGGTGCCCAGCGCGAGGAAGTTGGCCAGCGAGTCGAGCTCGTACTTGCACTCGAAGACCACGGAGGTGTTGTACACTGGCGTGACCGCGTCCTGCTGGCTGCTGCTGGCCGGTTGGATGCCACTTGCTGAGGGCGGCTGGAAGGCATTGCAGTAGGGGGACTGGATGACGTATTCCACCTGGGTGTTGATGGCGCCCAGGATGAGGTTGTAGAGGGCCTGGTCCTTCTTGGCCAGGGCCTGATAGCCGGAGAGCTGGTTAGCCGAGTCACGCAGCCATTCGGCGTTGATGTCGCCGGTGACTATGAAGGACTGCAGCCCTTGCCATTGAGGTGCGTTGTTGTTAGCTCGTTTCCGCTTCGGGGAATCTGTTGATGTTGATGTCTGGGTCCCGTTGACGTGCCAGCGGATGGTCGTGTCTAGCGTGTTGGGAAAGGCATTCCGGAACAGCTGCGCGAGATCTTTGTCTACCATCCGCGACGTCACATCTTCAATGACAGTCTCTACTGCAGGTGACGAGAAGGTTCGGCATTCGACAGAAGGGCGCTGGAACGGCAGATTCAAGGCACCGCCGCTGTACGGGGCACTGCGGGTGATCAGTTGGAATCTTCAAAGTTGGAAGGTCGGAGTCGCAACTCACTGTCCGACAGAGGAATAGGATAGGTAGTCAGGACAGGAACGCCGCAGAATCGCCTGCTCATCGCGAACTGTAGCACCTGTAGCGCCTATACTGGCTGCTAGAACTACGATTAATGCCGTAGAGCGTGCCATGACGAGCCTAGGTATTTGAGGAGGTCGACAGAGTGCGATACAGTGAGAGATAAACGATTATCCCACAAAGACCAAGGTAGAAAGAAGGGGAAGAGAAGGAGCCATGATGGAAAGTGGACTGGTGGGCGTGACGGAGGTGACAAGGGGAAGGAAGTTGGAATGCGGGCCAGAAATGCGGAGAAGATCAACAGGGATCGGCGCCGAGGCCGTCATCTGGTCGCGTCGCATTGCATTGTTACACTTGCACCGTCTGCATCGTATGACTTGTGACTCGATACGCCCATGAATGCGATAGATCGGTATCTAGTTGTCTGACAGAGATCTCTACGTTGTACAGTGTGAACACAGCTCCGTTCCTGTATCATGCCTCCACCCTCGCCTCCACCACTGGCTCGCTATTTTTTTGCAAAGAACGACATGATGCTGCCCTGACCAGCTTTAGGCCCGGCTTTCCCCTTGGGCGCACTTACGGCCGGCTTCTTCTTGGGCGGCGGTGCTGGTTCATCCTCCGAAAATGACTCCCAGCTCGGCTCTTCGACGGTGACTAGACCAAATAGTCAGTGAATGTCTTCCGAAAAAAAGTGCACCGAAGGAGATCTCACCGAGGTAGCCCTCTTCATCCTTGACCGTCTTTTTCTTCATCACCTGGCGCCTGCCTCGTCGACGGCCTGCGCGGACAATCACCTCTTCCTTGGGTTCGGCCGCTTTAGGAGGTGGTTGGTCGATGACATTGGACTCCTCCTCGGGCGACGGCGCGGCGTCAGGCATTTCTTCATCTTCTTCCTCATCTGTACGAGTCAACAGCTGCCAATGAAGCGGAATGGAGGAACATACCGTCATCCTCCATCATCTTCCGAAGCCTCTCCTCCCGCTCTTTCCGAGTCTCCCGCGTGCTGGTAGAAGCAGACTTGCCCGAATCAGGGAATAGTTCGTCAGGCTCGTCTTCGGATGCATCGTCCAGAACAACTGCTCAGTATTAGTCACTGTCATTTTCTGAAAACTTCTCGTACACTTACCATCTTCAGAGGCGCTAGGTTCGGCCTAATATGCCTGTTAGCCTGCATTCGCAACCGCACCTAGAACCGGAAGAGAACTAACCGTATCAACGCCAGAAGAAGCGGGAGTTGGCTCATCCACCTTCTTGGGCTTCGCTTTGGCCTTGGCAAACGAACTAAATATGCTACTCTTTTCCTTCTTGACCGGCGCCGTCTTCTCCGTCGATCTAGTCGATGAGACGGAATCTTCCCTTTTCAGCGACTGCTGAGACTTTGGTTCCTCCTCCTTAGTTTCCGTCTTGGGCGGCTTTGACGCTTCACTTGCCGTGGGCTTCTTCGCTGGTGTAGCCGATTTGGCGGGTGCAGGTGCAGGCGCAGGTGCCGGTGGTCGAACGCCAGTTCTCCTCTACCACCCCACATATAGCGCATTAGAACCGCAAGCGGCGAGAATGACCAATCAAGACAGACACACACCTTGACGTTCTTGTTCTGAATCATGCCCCAGGATGACCCATGCTCCAGCGGGTCTTCCTGCGCATGGTTGGCCAGTGTCTCCCGGGCCGCGTCCGTCAAGACATTAAGATCCTGCAGCACAGTAGGCTGCAAACTGTAGACATATACTGAGGCGATAGACTGGAACGTTGCTTTCGCATCTAGCCCCCATTATCAGCTTATAAAACCACGCGCCATGCCATACTCGTCCCGCAAGTCTGCGACAGTAACTCACCCTCCAGATCTTCCTCGCGCACAAGCAATATTGAGGTGATCGCGACTTCGTCTGCATCGCCATCCTGGTTGGGCATCGAGCTGCTTATGTAGGGGCTGCTAGGGGGAATATCGTCTGTATCGGCGCTGGACTGGAAACCATTCGCGGAGGTTGCTAGCTCGGGCGCCTTCTGAACTCCCGTGAGAATATACGTCGCATTGACGCTGTTGGGTTTCTTGTTGTTCTCATTGTGGTGAAAGTCGTACAGCATTCTTGCAATCAACCACTGTTAGCAGACGAGCTTCCATGGTATCGAGACAGCTCGCAGTAGAACTTACTGCTTCGCTAAAGTGCTATGCACACGGAGAGCTCGACCCAGCGAGCGATAAGTGACCTAAGCATTCACATGAAATCGAATCAGAATTCCAATCTCAATCCCCAACCAAAACACACACTGCTTTCAGGTTTGACTTACCGTGCGCTGCTCATTGAGAACATTCTCCGCTAGATATGTCTTATAGTCCGCGATCGCCATGATGTCAGAATATCGCGTTTCGCTTTTGTCACTTGCACGAAGTCAACAAAAGTGAGCTGCGGACAAATCGGCCGACGAACGGACGCGTTCTCCACCAAACCACTTTACGCGCATCAGTCAGCCAGCTTCTTTTCCGCGGCAGTCTTGGCGCCACCCGCCGCCGCCGCCGTCGCCGTCGCCGAAATCCATCCCTCCATCAATAAGTTGATAATATACTTAACTATAAAGAAAGCGCTCCAAAAGAAAGCTCACCAATTCATTCCGCCCTCGGAATTGTACTTCACCTCAAGCCCCACCAGCGCTACTCTCACCCAGCCTTGAGTCGCGTTGGTCCTACTCTATCATTTGGACATAAATTCAGAGCAGCTTCCGGAATACCCACCAAACAAAATCCCAGAACCTCAATGCTTTCGCAATTCTCCACCGCTGATACCTTTTAACTACCCAATGGACCACCAGACGTTTGACCTCCCCGACTCGACCGACTGGCTGGCCACGCCACTGTCCCTCCTCGCGCCGCTCGAGTCCGCCCTGCGATGTCAAGTCTGCAAGGACTTCTTCCAGAACCCCGTCATCACCTCGTGCAGCCACACATTCTGCTCGTTATGCATCCGCCGCTGTCTCAGCACGGAGGGGAAATGTCCCGCGTGTCGCAGCTCGGACCAGGAGCTGAAGCTGCGGCAGAATTGGGCGGTGCAGGAGCTGGTTGAGACCTTTCAGAATGCGAGACCGAGCGTCTTGCAGCTAGCCACCCAGGCGGCGGCGGCGCAGCAAAATGGTGAGGAGGGGGTCTTAGCGCGGCCGGCAGCGAAGAAGCGGAAGGTAGATGTGTCGGAGGAGCTCGGAGACGGGATCACGACTACTTCTACGGATACGGATATTGCTGCGGTGAGATCAGTGGAGGGGGTGCGGACGCGCTCGCAGGCGAGGGGAGGAGGTCTGACGCGGCAAGCTCCCGCAGAAGTTATTGAGGTGATTGACGATAGTCAGGATGAGGAGTTTGTTCCAGGTATGTTTTTCATGTCCTACAAGCTGTCCGATGCAGTGTGCTAAAGGCTGGCTTCCAGCCGATGGACTTGTCGCGTGTCCTGTATGTCAGCGGAGGATGAAGAACGAGGCCGTGTTCTCACATCTTGATAAATGCACCGGAGAACCTGCACCACCCAAAGCTTCCCCCAAAACCTCCTTTGGGTAAGGATGCTCTCATGCTTACGTTAGTGAGAACCGGTTCTGACTTTTATAGCTCCCTACAGATGCCGATGTCTGCGCCGGTTCCATACAGAAATCCCAAGAACAAGCCACTTGAGAGACTTCCAACCATTAATTATTCTCTATATAAGGAGAGTATGCTTCGGAAAAAGCTCAAAGATCTGGGCATCCCCAATACAGGCCCACGACCACTGCTGCAAAGACGCCATACCGAATGGGTGAATCTGTGGAACGCTAATTGCGACTCCAAGTCGCCTAAGCCTCATGGAATCTTGCTGCGTGAACTCGACATCTGGGAACGAACTCAGGGCAACCAATCGTCTTCATCGTCCGAGGCTCCTGGATCAATCATGCGCAAGGATTTCGATAAAGCTGCTTGGTCATCAAGCCATGAAGACGACTTCAAGAAACTCATTGCCAACGCTCGGCAAAAGAGTCGCGCGGCGGCGCGTATGACAACACCACAAGAATCCGCTGGGTCGAGTACAATGCAGAACACACCTGCTTCCGAGCTGACAGATGCCCCATTCCCAGCGGAGACCACAGATCCTTCCGTTAGTGTGCTTGTAGATGCCAGTATGTCAGGTGCTGTGGCGCCCGAGACTCCACTGCCACCAGAATCATTCAATGACGGATTGACTGAAATGCATCACTAATGCTCCGTGGTGTTGGCCGCCAAACATCGTGCGCTGTAAATATCATCTTCGACGATTAAAGACTATGCTCCTTGATCACTGAGCTGTGGCGCTTGGGTTTTCTTCGACCGACATGCGGGACAACCTCTCCTCTAGCTCAGAATCAAGATCCTTCTCTGCTGCTGCACTGCGCGCGGCTTCTTTGGCACGCTGTTCGAGGTTGTCGAGTTCGGCAAGTTTGTTGCGGGTCTCTTCTGCCTCTTTCTCCTCTCTCGCCTCCCGCTCTTGGTTCTCCAACTCCTCAAGCTCCTCATCGATCTCCATCTCGTCGATCTGCGGACCGGCCTCATTCAGGATGTTTCCCACCTCATCCACCTTCGTCATCTCATCACGCAACTCCTCCACCACATCCTCAACCCTAGCCGCACCTCCGATCTGTGCATGCAAGCCACGTAGCGCTCCAGCGCTCGACTCCATCACCTTCACGAATTCGACCTGATCCGTAGCCTGTTCTATTTTCGAATAAACCTCCTCGAGCTGCATCAGGGTATCGAATCTCTGCTTGAGATTGTGCTCGGCAAGTTTCTTCGAGCGTACAGCCGAAAGCGCAGAGACGCGATTCTTGTTCTGCAGCGCCGTCTTCGCAGTCATATTCAGCTCGTCAATCTTCTTCTCCAGACTCTCGACCTGGATGGCCATCGTAGCCATGAGCGATTTGATCGAGGCCACGGCGGTATCTTGCTCCGTGATCTCCCTCGGAGAGTCGTTGGTGGGTCTAAATCTGATAGTCTACACCATAATTAGCCATAAACACCTCGGTGGTCATAGACAAAAAACAATGGAAGAAACAAACCTTTCCATCATACGCGATGGCCCCACTATCGCGGGACAGATACAGCAAAAGCACATCCAAATCCGCATTGGACAACTGGCTCCCCTCATCCAAGATCGAAGCGAACTCCTCCACAAACTTCTCCTTAGAGTAAACCAGGTCCGTCTTGGATGGATTCTGCCCCGTAGCCTTCTTAACCACTCTCTCAGCAGCTTCCTGTTCCACAACCACAGCAAAGCAATCATCAGCCCCTCACTTAATCTAACCGCATTGCCTCTTCGTTTGATAACATACCTTCAGATTCTCCACCAGCACCAACTCCTGCGCCTGCAGTCGGGGCGTCGCTTCCTCGGACCCCAAAACCACCCCCTTCAACTGCTTCATCCCCCAGCTCATGACCACCCAGGGACTCAACGCCGAAGTATCGATCCCCCAACCGGGCTTCTGCAAGCTCACCCCACTATTCTTGTACATCTGCAACGGCACCATCGTGCGGTTCCGGATAGCCTCATCCTAAAAAATCAGACCCAAAACCATGGCCGTGTTAGCGACGAGACTTCGATGCCCCGAAAAATAACACCCCTGATAAACCCTTTGACTAAACAAGATGAGGGAAACAAAAAGAGAGGCTCACAAAAACCGCCCCCAACGCCACAGGTCGCCCGCACTCGGGGATCTCCAAATCACGGAGAAGAGTCTCATCCGCCCGTAGGATCAGATGATTGGCCTTTGGCTTCGCGCTGGAGGAGGACGAGGATGAAGGGGTGGAGTGGATGTAGCCGTGTTTCGCGGCGTTGGCGAGGGCGTGTTGCCATGCTGCGATGTTGGTGTTATACCCCTCTGGGTTGATCTTGCGGTGGATGGGGAAGTCGGAGTATAGGGATGGAAGGCGGTTTCTGTCATATCAAAACAAAGGGTCAGTGAGATGACACTTCTGGTGAGCTGTGCGATAGAGTGGGATTCAAGGGACAAGGGGCTGGCTGGTCCAGTCGATGGGTTACCCACTTTCTGAATTGATCCTGCGAGAGGATGTAGTTGAGGAGGTCGTTCATGTTGGATTCCGCGGGTTGAAGGTGGTAGATTTAGATGGTGATGGTGAGATTAGGATTAGATACTCGTGGGAGGAAAGCTCGAAATAAATCGTCAGCAGTGAACAGCACTGTGAGGGCTCTGCCTGCTTGACGGCTGCTCTGGCCTTTGTTCCGCGGTCCTTCGGGTGGGAATCTGATGTCAATAAATGGGCCAGCCCGTTGGTTGTCCGGGTGGTGATCTTATCGATAAGATTGGGTCATGTGATGGTTCGTTTCGGGGAATGCACCGTGGACGTCATCGGACGCCCGGGAGACCCTGGTTACTGTATGCCGGGCTTACATGAGATGATGGCTCAGTGACTGGCAACGTAAAAGAGCAGAGCAACTAGAACGCAAGTGATACGTATATACGAAGCATTAAATTCGACGAGTGTCTATAATGATGTATAACCTTCCATGCGCCTATCCGGCCTTTTCATTCCGTCCCTAAGCTCGTTCAAAGTCATCATCGGCTGCATTGTCATTATCCCTCATACCCTGTGTCGGGCTAAGTCCGGAGTCCAGAGGATTCACAATCAGGGACTTCCTATTCTTGCGTCGATCCAGCTGCTCGCTCGTCTCTTCGGTTCCCAGAGCTGCTGCGGTGGCTGTCTCGTCCCTAGTATCTAGGCCTCGAGCCTCAAGATACTCAACCTTCACGGCATGCCTAAGGTTGTCGATGAAAGTTTGCATCTCTGGCATTGAAAATACCCCATCCCCCTGCAGAACGTCCGCATACAGGCGCTCCGCCTCCTCCAAGGCTGCCGAGGCTAGGGAAGGTTTTCCCAGTCGAAGCCACAGATCTGCAGCGAAAACGCTCCACATCCCGGCCTTGCGACGACGAGACCCCCATTTCATGCCAGGCACGGCATTGCGGGCCGCATAACAGGCCGAGATTCGTTCACTGAAGAGACCCTGACCGATAGAGCCGGCGAGACTCTGGTCCATGACCCGCATGGCCCATCTAGCCGCGCTCTCTACCGCCGAGCCACCCCGTGATTTAAGCAACTCCATCGCTAGAGTCAGACATCGTAGAGTGTTAGGCGCATCCGAGCATCGAGTTAAGTACGAATAAGAGGCCGTCTCGAGCATCTGATCAATCGCCTCGATCTTGACTTTGGTACTCATGGAAGATGGACTCAAGAGCATGCTCACAGCAGACATCTCATAGGCACCCGCGTGATATTTCCAAGCCTTGTCATTCGCGTAATCGGACCGCAAAAGTTCGTACGTCGATGCGGAAAGCTTCCAATCACGAAGCATAAATGCAAAGTCAGCCATCTTACGTAGGACAGCCTCGGGCGCGTCAAATCTGTAATAGCCATGAGCCGTATCATAATTGCCACTGGCTCCACCAGAGGTCAGACTGGATCGAGAGCCGGATCCGAAGCCTGCCCAACGGCGTGACATGGACATGAATCTTCCGCTGATACCACGTCTGCGAGAAGCTACTTGATCATTCCATACCGCCACTCGATTTTCCATGTACGGCACGACTGATTGCGCAACTAATTCCCGAACGAATGCCCTGATCGCCATCACATCCGACTCAAAGACGTGCGGAAGCCCACCCGTGTCAAGGTCTACTAAGGGCTCTGGTACTTATTAGCACTTAACGCACATCAGTACAAGCGACCTGTCTCACCTGTCCGTCCATACAACCGCTCCGATGGCGAAAGCCATTCACACTCAGGTACTTGAACACTGTCATCATCTGTAACCACACATTGATTGCTGCGCAATCTCAGCAGGTGACAATGAAGCCCGAAATGGCGTTTCATTTGATCGTATAGCTTCGTAGACTCTGTGATGTCGTCGCGATCCTCATCATGCACTAAGACGTAATACCGGAGATACTCAGGATGGATCCAGTCAGGCACCCGTTTGTCTCCATTGTTGGTGTCTGCATAGAGTCGTCTTAGAGTCTCCAGAGGGGCAATATTGCGCGAGCTGATGGCGATAACACAGGCCACTGGATGTCGAAAAGTCTCGTGGGGTGTCGCCGATGCTATGGATAAAAGCTGTCGAAGGTATAGTTTGTATAATGGTGATGTGCTGGGGAAACCGAGAAAGTCCTTAGGGTATAGAGACCCGCCCAGCGGATCGTCCAATGAGCCCAGTTGCTTCTCCAAAACCTCCTCCACGTGTGCTAAAGGGGAGCTCCGCCCCCCGCTTGACTCAGGGGGACTTTGATTATTGTTTCCAAGATCGACAAAGCGCACTCCGTAATCCTCCCAGCTCCGACTCGCTCCAACACTATCCCGAATGACAAGCTTTCCTGGGATATTCTCGCCAAATGGCCGGATTAACTGCCAAAACCCGCCCGCAAACCCTTTTTGCCGTACTAATTCATCGGTGTCCGCTGATGCATAGACTCCAACTACAGGGGAGAACGAGCGTATGATCAGCGAGCGTATCTCCTCGGAGCCTTCGAACCGTCCTTCTACTGGAGAGCCGAGGGATGACCGGGCCAATTGGGGTGTTGACGATCGAAAGGACGGCGTCCGCGGTGATGCTGATCGAATTGGCAATTCTGACGTCGTGGCGGAAAGAGGCGGGGTTGGGGATGCGACCCTGGACCCAGCAAGATCTGCATCTAGAGACGGGGAAGAGTCGCGGCGCTGGTTTGGATACCTCGTCTTGGAAGCGCCACGCGGAACGCCGGGCGAGAACGACGGCGGAGGCTTGACCGGAGCAGCATCTCCGGGCGATGTCATGGACTCCGAGTAAGTTGCGACGCGACACTAAAAGAGGTTGAAAAGAATCTAGAGCCCATCGACTGGGAAGACGGGGTCATAAAAATTAAAAGGTCAAGCGAGAAGTGCGCGAGGAGTAGAGTCAGCTGTCAGCCTGGGAGATGTGGAATGGAGAAAGGAGGGAAGGAAGATGAAGAGAAAAGAAGACGGTGCTGGAATGAATGAAGCCACTTCACCGCGGCCGCAACGTGGGAGAACAGTAGAGGTAAATTGGACCATGCACGTGAGACCTCCTGTCAGCCACGGACAATTATCGACTCGGCAGAATTTCAAACTAGCCTCAAAGACTCATTTAATCGATACACATTAGATTGTCAATCACCTCAAAGTCAACAAGCCAATAACAACAAACCGACTCTCTGTGACCTCACCGTACCGATGGAGAATGATTCTGAAGAGGCAGGCGGTGAAGGTAGCCTGCATGAATCTGCCGGCTGTACTATCGCTCCGTCGCTGCAGTCATGCTCTATTCTTGGAATGGACTTCTCTCTTTCGGAGACTCTTTCGAAGAGCAGCACGGTCAATGTTCTGTCATACTTTTCCTGCTGAACCGCCTCTGAGTCACGGTTGTCATGGCATATGTTAATGTGTGCGACTCTCCTCCCCCGTGCCCTTGTCAAGTTCCCTCGATTCCGCCCCGCCGTCATTCTTTATTCACGGACTTGTAGCGCTGCCCATTCTACCCCTCTAACACGCCTCCATCCTCAATCCTCTACCCCCAACTCATATACTCGGCAACACCTGCACAAGCACAGAGCTGCTTTTTCCATTTCGTTCATGAGACGTCCCGAATCCCGCAGCCCTTCTCACCGACCGGAAAAAAGACGGCGCCTGTCTGTGGCTGCCTCGCGCGAGAACACCATGAGCGAATCCACCGATACTCTTCCTGAAATCCAGTTGACGCCTCTCGAGAATACCCTTAAAACCCTCCTACTTGATGTTGCACAGTATATACATGAACGAAGGTGCGCAGAAGGTTCGCATGATGGGAACGCCTCCGGCACTGTCTTGCGATTCACTGGAGGATGGGTGCGCGACAAGTTGCTCGGAGTGGACAGCCAAGATATCGATGTTGGCATCAATAACATGACTGGATATCAGTTTGGGCTCCTACTGAAAGAATACATGGACATCCCTGGCACCTTGGACAAATACCGGAAGGATCATGCGAGCGGCGATCTAGGCAAAGAGCTTGTCAGTCTGCATAAGATCGAGGCGAATCCGGAGAAATCCAAGCACCTAGAAACAGTGACGACGAACATTTTCGGCTTCGATGTAGACTTGGTCAACTTGAGGAAAGAGACATATACTGCCGACAGCCGGAACCCTCAGATGGAATTCGGAACAGCCGAGGAAGACGCGTTGCGCCGGGACGCCACCATCAACGCACTTTTCTATAATCTCAACGAGTCCAAGGTCGAAGATTTGACCAGACGCGGTCTTCGGGATATGCAGGACCAGATCATCCGCACCCCATTGGAGCCATATCAAACATTCCAGGATGACCCATTGCGTGTGCTACGACTAATCCGTTTCGCAAGCCGCCTGGGATACCTGATACACCCTGAAACCGAGGCGGCAATGCAGAACGCTCATATAGGCGAGGCTCTAAAGCTTAAAATCAGCCGTGAGCGAGTCCTGAAGGAACTTGAAAAGATGCTTTATGGTGAGCGAATATGCCTTCAACTTACGCTAGGGATTATGCTGATTATTTTTAGGACCTGATCCTCGCGGTGCCCTACATATAATAGATCGTCTAGGTCTTTATCCGACTATCTTCGCTAATTTCCAAGATGATGCCACTGTTGAGACTTCATCCTGGCCTTTCGCCTACAACACAGTAGAGAGACTGATACGGCCTACTGGTGTCGACCCTCGACAGACAGTGGAACAAGTTCGAGACTTTCTCATTCGCGACAAGCAAGAGGAGTTCTACGCCTGGATGCTCTCAGCAATGGCTCCGTGGTCAAAGGTCCCAGGCCGCCCCCCAAAAGGCAAAGGGCGGCCACCACCGCCTCGGGCTGCAGAGGTTGCCAAAGAAAGCTTGCGAGCTGACAACAAAGTAATATCTGTTGTGGGAGATGCGGCAGCAAGTTGGCAGTCGATTATTGAGGTAAAGAACTCAATCTTGGAAGGGGCTGTGAGTGGAACGGCAATGGAAGTTCGCAGGCACGTTGGGTTGCACATTCGTTCTTGGAAAAAGGACTGGAGGCTGTGCATTGTTCAGGCCATACTTCAGGAGGTCATGAGCGGACGCCAGTATGACCTAGGTGAGAATCTCAAGCCCATTCTTTCCGCAGAACCCGGACGGACAGCTGACTTATGCTGTACATTAGTGGTCGAAGAGTATGCCCGGTTTATCGGGTACATCAAGGAACAAGGCCTACAAGATGTATACGATCTGAAACCGCTTGTTAATGGCGATCAAGTCATGAAGACAATGGGTGGTAAAAAGGGACCATGGCTGGCCAAGGCATTGCAGATGGTGGTTGAATGGCAACTAGTGCATCCCGAGTCAAACGATCAGGAGGAAGTCCTGAAAGTCTTAGCTGATAAAAGACAAGAGCTTGGGATTTGATAGAGTCAAAATCTATGAATAGAAGTTAGCGCATAGCTGAACAATTTTTGGTGGTCTCAAGTAACTGTAGTCATGGAGTTGCAGCGTGACTGACGGCTTGGACGAAATCCGCCAACTGACCGCTCGCTGCATAAACTGCCGTCATACAAACCATTGGATCGCAGTCCAACTTTCTCCTCAAATTCTCAAATTCTGGACCTCTGTGTCACCTGAATCTTCTCACGCCTGTTGAATTTCTAGTAAAGCCTTCAATAACAACCCACAACTCATCGTAATCTCCTTTTAGGGCAAGAGCGCTGGATTGCCTGCCAAGTGCACGGATAGATGGAAGAACTCCGCGCGGCAGCATGCGAATCCCTCCCGCGAGGTGATGTTCAACTCCCAGAGGCTGCCATTGCCCGGTATACCACCACAGGAGGCTTGAATCACCTATGGCAGGATTGCTTGTCTCAAGCTCAATCCGACCCGGCCCAAGTAAGCGACCCAGCTTAGCACATACAATAGTCATTGCTGACAAATCCCCTTCAGCTTCGTGAGAACCTACTGGTGGCCCAAGCAGTTCTGCACAACTGGGCTTCTGAGACGGTGCTTGAAGCCGATGTAGAGGCGGCAGGTTACATCTATGACTGGGCAAGCAACGCTGCCCTCCCTTCGTCTATCTTCGCGGAGACAATCGAAGAGGCCAGTGGTAAGATTGGCCCGGTTCGCTTGAAAGAACACGCTGCTAACCATTCCTCCAGAACGCAAGCTTGCCGCCATTGCTGAAGAGAAGCAAAAGCTGGCGCAAGCTATCACCGTCATCTCCGGACTGAACAAAGTGCACCCAATTAGCAAAGCGGCCAACATCCCTAATATTCTCGTTGCGCTTGCTAGCTTCACTTCGGAAGCCGATCCATGGTCCACCGAAGAAGCGCACCGGATCTCAATTGACATCCTTCGGGATTTCAGCGCGACCACGCGCTCCGATGGCACTCTGTGGACGCATCTCGAGACGATCCTGAAGGAGAGGATCCGACCTCTCTTCACCAAGACGAGGAACCCAGCCATTACAGCAGAGGGCCGCAAGAACTTCCACCCTGTGCCCCTGGCCCGATTCGACCTCACCACTCTGGACCCAGAAGCAAAGCCCTGGAAGGCGTTTGCCGTTTACTCGACCACAGTCTTTAGCTGGGCACTCGCTCAATATGACGTTTGTCTCCCTTGACACCTGAAATTGAAGCCAAAACCAAAAACCAAAATTACTAACCCCTAAACTGTTCACTCAAAGTCCACATCAATCACCCAGCTAGAACGACAATTCTCGCAACTCATCCCGCCAATCCTCGCGCTCATCGACGACGAGACCCTGACCCCCAAGATCCGCGGCTGCACCCTCCTCAGAGAACTCCTACAACCCATCCGCTCCGCCCAATCGGACATCCTGCGGCGCACGAACCTCAGCTCCGTCTTTGAGGACGCCCTCCGGCCATGCCTACTCTCCCTGCCGACCATAACCCCAGAAGACGACTCCCTTCGCCTGTTGAGCACCGCCTACCCGGCCCTGCACGCGCTCCTCGAAACCAGCTACGCCACCGGCAGCAGCAGCACCACCAGCAGCACCAGCAAACCCGCATTCACCGTGGCGCTGACTAGAACCCTCCGCGACAATCTAATCACCTCCTTCCACCACATCAGCTCCACGAACCCGATCACCTCCCCCTCGGCTTCCTCCGCACTGACCTCCTTCCCCCACCCAAGGCTCTCCACGCTCCTCCTCGCTGAGATCCAGCGAACGACCACCGCCCTCGGCGTCGAATCCACAAAATACCTGCAGGAGATCATCCCCCTGATCTACAGCACCCTCACCAACCCGTTCGGGACCGCCCACTCGCCCCTCCTCTTCGCGGCGTTGGGTGTCGCCCGCGCCGTGATCCTGAACGCCCACCCGCGCGTCTGGCGCTGGCGGACTGAGATCCTGGGTGGGGTTTGCCCATGCTGGTTGAATGTCGTCGATGAGGAGCGAGAGATCCGCGCCGCCGCCGCCGCCGGGGGGTCGACCACCAGGAAGCTGAACAATTCCCGGAGTCATGCTCCCGAGAATGATGGCCGGTTGAGGATTCTGGGGAGGCTGAAGAACGAGCTGCAGGGCGTCGTCGCTCTGCTGCGGTTGGCAATGGAAAAGCCTCTGCGGCCGGACACGCCGGAGCAGGAGACCCTCGCGGCTGGTGATTTCGGCAAGGAATTGGAGGAGCTCGTTGCGGCGGAGGAAGAGCTGCGTGGGCTGCTCTTCGCGGAAGTGGATCCGTCACATGGGAGGTATTTTGGGCAGGCGGAGGAAGAGGAATAAATTCAGTCAAATGACTTTTCGTCATATCGAATCATCCTGTTCGGCTATCAGTATGAGCGAGACGCTTTGTTGTTTGCTTATGATAACAAAATGAAAATCCCGGGATCAGGAGCTACGTTATTTCAAGTATCGCCAACGAAATTGAGCTGTTGAGGTACAAAGTTTCAAACTTTGTCGATCTTGATACGTTTAATTCTTGAGAAAAAAGTCTTGAGGAAAAAGAGTCACAATAGGTACTAGGTAATTACAACGCTATCTGAAACTCTAGTTTTTCCTCAAGGCCAATGGCACAAATAAATCACAACGGGAAAAAAATTAACAGGATATGATGGCACGAGAAAACATCAGGAAGTGGGCACGCATGCGGCAAAGGGGGTATCATGTCATGACAAGGGCATTTCGTGGAACAACACATGTCGTGGAAGATTTGAACAAAGCGGGACGAAAATCAATCAATCAATCAGAAAACAAAAATGCTTTCCCATAAAACATGCTTCCATCCCCCGTAGAGACGATGAACACCAATTTCAAGCATCGACGCGCTGCTTGAAAAGACTTTTGCCCCGCAGCCACTGCCGGTAGCGCTTGTATCGCTTTTTATCGTAGTCCTCCGCGACGACGGTCAGCCCGGTCTCGGGAACGTTGAGGTATTCGACGTAGTCCGCTAGGTTCTCGAGCGCGTTGGCCTCGAGGGTAGCTTCCTCGACGTTGCATTTGTTGGCATACTCGATGTAGTCGATGTTGGCTTCGTTTTCGCGGATCGAGGTCGCGGTCAGTTCGTTCTCCGAGGTGACTACGAGGGGCACTTTCAGGGGATGGTTGATGTAGCGTTCGTATTCTTCGGCTTCCGCGGCGGTGACGGTGGGGTTTAGGGAGTCGTGCACGAGCTGGCCCAGGGTCCATTGAGCGATTTGCGCTTTGCTGGGCGCGGCGCCGGGCTCCAGGGAGGACTGAAGGGAAGCGGTGGTGTGTGTAGGCGTTCCGAAAGACGTGTATGTGGGTTGTTTCATGATTCCTGCGGCCGGAAGCTGTTTGTCCGCGGAAAGGGGTTGGTTCAACCAACGCCGGTTGGATTGCGAGGTTGTGGAGTTGGAACGACCGATTGCCGTCTTGTCAGGTTCCTGAATTTTGACTGTTCGGTGGGTCTGACGTTCACGGTTCACCGGTTCATGTGGAATTCTGGGCACAAACGGGCTTATGTCGTAGGGAGCACCGGATCCAGGGCGGAAAGGCAGATACCGGAGGGTGGAGTTCATCTTGTAGGAAAACACCTTGGAGAATGATGACACTGCTAGCGGGCGATAGTACTCGAGCCAATAGTCGTCATAGTGCGACAACGGTTCCTTGAGCGGCTTAGGAGGGGGCGGCAATTCAAACTTCTTCAGGTTGTCCGGATTGTACCAATTGATATAGTGAGGACGCTTTTTGTTTGACCATGACCTTGGATTGGCATGATGCAAGTAATAGTCGGTGGACAGGTCCCACAACATTGGCTGTCCCTGGGAGAAGATGTAATTGCCAAGGAAGAGATTATATGCTTCCTGACGTTGAGCATCAAGGAAGGAATTGTTGTAGTAACGCTTGAAACTCTCGACCATGTCTCGTGAGTGACTGCTCCACTGATTAATCTTGCGGTAGGTTGCCATGGTGTTGACCAGATGAGAGCCTCCGTATTGAATAGCGATGGTGTCACCGTGATCGTGCCACATATCAGTGAACAGATTGACAGCGTCCGAATCGTACTCCACTGTTGTTCCGTCGATGATTCCCAAAGCGTGGAGCTGATGGCCCAGCGCGCGTTTTCCGATCACAAACTGAGCGGCATTCGTACGATCAAGGCAATCGATACAGTTGGTCCTCGCTATTCCGTTCTGCAGTTGAAGCCCAGACTCCGCATCGACACCATTCTGGAAGAAGCCGGTCTTTGGGATAATGTCCCCGGCAATATCCTCGAGTGTCCCGATAACATCTTGATCGCGACTTTTCGCAGCGCGACTCATGTCCCAAGGTTGATAAATGATCTTCTTATCCTCAGGAAGGAACTGATTGAGATACTGAATGGCATTGGTGTATTCCTTGAGAAGTTTCGACTCGCGTGGGGTCCGTTCTCGAGCTTTGATCAGGTTCAATGCGTAGACTGGAGCACCGTATCTTTCAAACAGATTGTCGAAATGCAAAGCCGCAGCAGAGTAGAACGGGTCGACCAAATTCAGCTCAATGTCTGGCTTGGGGGAAACACCGGAGTTCTCCTGAGTCCAATAGAGCGGGATACTGCCACGATGCTGGACGTATGATGTATAGAGCGGATTAGCGTAGAGCAGCGGACCGGGCGCATGGAACGACGTAGCCGCCATATCAGAGACAATTTGCTCCGTTTCGACGTCATTGGCCACATATCCCAAGTCATTCGCTCCTCTTTTCAGAAAACGAGCGCCAGCAAAGAACCGAGAACGACGGGCAATAATGGTTATGTACACAATCCGCCCGTAGATTGAAAGTTTGGCCTGTTCGACATAGCCATGGATGATCGGAAGACACCACTCCCAAGGGTTGCGTAACTTGGTAAGAGCCGGGGTGAGAAGATGGTGATTCCAGATAAACATGGGATTGTAATCCTGCTGGGATGTCTTGGGCTGTCCCGCATGATTAGCTTTGCGCTCCCGGCAGATATTGCGCTGCAGAGTATGGGTAATGTCGTAAGAGTAACTGAAGTAGAACGACCGGGTCAAGTCAAGGTTATTCAGGATCGCAATGTACCTTGCCTCCTCAGGATTCTTCTCCGGTCGCAGGCGAGATGAGCTGGACGTCGTCAACGAGATCAACTCAGTTCCATCAATCTGATAGACGTAGTGACCACCGAGCATGGCAACCTGACTTCTCTTCGTCACTAGGAGCATGTAATAAGCATCCGTGAAGCGAATGAATCCCAGCATAGCCCAGGCGCTGCATTTAAGCTTTAGTCCGCCCGAGCTCTTATTGCCGTCGTCGATGGTATCCAACAACTGGCTCATCTCCCGCTTGCTGTACACGATGTCATCCTCGGAGATGATCAGCTCGCCCGACTCAGAGGTCCGATCGATCTTCAGGATCCGGAAGCGGGTGTCCGACAAGTCCATGCCGACCATGTAGAAGCGGGTGGCTGTCTCGTACAGCGAGAATTTGTGCATGCGGTTGATCCCCTCTTCGCCGCCCGTGTCGAAGAACGCAGATCGCTGCTTTTGTGCCGACGTGGGTGTCGAGTCCCGCTCGAAGGAGGTTGCAACCTGCGGCTCTTCATCTTCAGCTTCCTCGACCTCCTCGCTCATAGGGGCCGTGGGAGCTGATGGGGCGCTGAAGGGCAGCGAGGGGAACGGTGAGGCCGCGCGGGGGGACTTCCGATCGTCTTCCAAGTCGAGAAGGCTCCGCAACGCTGATTCGGGCTGGTCGCCAGCCAGCTTGCTGCTCGAGCCAGAGGTAAAGGAGGTGTCTGCATAAGGAAAATTGAAGTCAATCGGAGAGTCTGGAGAGCTGCTACCATCCCGAGATGCTCTGGAAGAACGGCCGCCATCAAGATGACCAACACTGCGATCTTCGGCCGCATCGCGGGGGATGGAAATCCCATCAAGGCTCTCCATGATGACAGCTGAAGTTCATGGAAGCCTGTTCCAGAAAATCAGAGGCGTGCAATCTCAAGAGGCCATGACAGTCCTTCCAAAAGCCACGACCATCCAGTGGCTGAGGTTTTGGCGGTCGAGGTGATTTTAGCTGGCTTGTGTTTGGGGCAACATACCGGTAACTTTGGTATTGAGATTACCCATCGCTGCCGGTGGTGACGTCACTCACTGCTTCCTGCTGGAGCACGTGATGCTGTATGATGGCATGTGATCTCATATATGGGTTGATGGCAGAGAGGAGTTCTTTTCCTGAACACACAATTCCAGTGTCTGGAACAAAATCAGAACCAGGTCGACATCTAACATGAACCGCTCTACCTGTGTTACTCTTGTCACTGCTTCTTTGGTGTTTATGGGGCAAAGGAGACTTAGATTTTTGCTCAGTTATTGGCACTCCGTTTGAATGGAGACCCTTAATCTGCCAATCAAAGTAGCTCCATCAACAAGTCTTTGTCTACAAAGACCAGGCAGTTGTAGTAGGCTCTATGAGGCTCTATGTTACTCTCGCAGCTGGCTATGGCTACAAGTGAAATCAGGCTATTCCTATCTTCATTGCTGCCTGCCTTCTCTTCTCCATGACTTTGACTTCTCATTTCTGCACAGGACAGTCAAGCACGATTACTTGCCTGCATATCTTCTAGTGTATAAAGTTACGAACGAGACAAGCCAGAGAGTTCAAACTCGAGGACCGGAAGTAAGGAAATCGAATTTTTCATTACTATCAGTGGAGATGGATAAAGCGTGCCATGCTTCAAGAGTACCCAAACAAATGCAAGCCTGCGTGATGCGGCAGTTGTTCCCCCTACTTACTAAAAACATCGCTTCAACAACACCTTTTGCGGCTTGAGTATAGGAATAGAACTTGCTCTCTGCTCTGCGCAAGCTCGATTAGCAAGCTGACCGACTGAGTGTAGGCCCGCGAAGCCCATGGCGATGCGGCTTCGGGACAGGCGTCTACAAACGGCCAAGAACATCCCTAAAATTTCATCTGTTGTAAGTACTCACACCTCTGGACGTTCAATTGTCACGAAAAGTAGCCATGGTGCGTAGGAAACAACCTTTCAGATCTGGAAGATCATTCTGATATTTTCCGAGTAAATCGGATCGCGCGGTGACCTCCTGTAGCGTACCGAATCATCCAACCAGCTCGAATCCTCTTGCAACGAAGCCCAAGAGCTCTCAACTGAAATATAGTCTGCTTTTCCAGCCACAACGAATATTGATCTTCTGCCCGCCTGTTCCAACAGGCACCATGTATATGTTCTCCCCTGGCTGTCCGCCGTGTCTCCGTGTTGCTCCAGTGTCCGTTGTTATATTCTGCAGTGCCAGTTGCTTCTCTGTCGCAGCCAGGGTGAAATGAAGAGATATCGAACAATTCTCATTCCGAAATCCTTGTATTCCGAAGCACCAGAAGACCAAGTGATGAGTAGTTGGTCCCCTATCTCGTAATCGCCCAAAGGATTTGAACTTATTGAATTATTGAGCGTTAAACATCCCAAGCTTTTCATGAACTAAAGTGAACTTACCCGGTGACAATGCCGTGGGATCGACACTCCGCAACAAATACTTTCCCATCTATAAGCACGAAGTAATGCAGGGAGAGCTCCTCCGCATCTCGCCCACCCGCCCCAAGCCCGCTCTTACCCCAAATTCCCCAACTCGGCACCCGAGCGGGGAAAGCAACTCCCCCGGGACCCAACAAAGTAATTCTCCCCGCGCCCTACGGCCGGCCATTCTACTATCCCACTGCACACAACCTACACTTCAAAAGCACGCAACGCAACACAAAATAACAGAACAAGGCAGCTTCGATGCCAGCTTGATGGTATAAATAAGCTCCCCTGGGGACATGGCTCTGTCACCCCGGGTTCTCAATTGTCTTCTTCCATAGCTTGCTCAACCAACCCCAAACCAACCAACCACCGACCGCCATGACGGAAGCGATCACTCACATCGTCCTCTTCAAGTACAAACCCTCCATAACATGGAGCGAGTTCGAAGAGCACTTTGCCGTCTTCCTCGCGCTGAAGGACAAGTGCAAGTCGCCGGAGACCGGGCGGCCTTACATGAAGAGTATGAAAGCAGGTGCGTGGTGTTTTTGTTGGCCAATGTCCAGACGTCTGCGGCGGGGAAATGCTAAAACTATAGTTTGCGAAAAACCTTTCAAGGCAAGAATCGCAGCTGGGAACCGTTCAGCAAAGGCATGACACATGGGTTCGTCCTGGAGTTCGAGAATCAGGCCGATCTCGACTACTATCTGACCGAGGATCCGGTGCATTTGGAGTTTTCGAGGAAGGCGGCGCCTTTGATGTATGTTTTGGGCATGTCGACATGCTTTGGATACGGCGTGACTGACGAATGTCTGCAGAGAAGATTCAGTCGTTATCGGTAAGCCCGGCAACCAACCCCAATAAATTTCGCCAATGTATCTAACCTGGCCAAATGCAAAGACATCCGAGACGGCATCCTCTTCGGGCCCCCAGCGAAGAAACCCATCATCGGAGCCGGCACGTTCCACGGGAGCTGCCACTGCGGTGACTGCTCCTGGACGGCCGAGATAACCGAGCCGGAACACATCCTCTGCCACTGCGAGACGTGTCGTAAACTCGGCGGTGGGCCTTATTCCATGAATCAGATCATCCACAAGGTGTGTTACCGTTACTTATCACTCCGCAGCACACCCGCGCGCAAAGGCATACTACTATACGCAATGGCGCAAGTGGGAAACAAAGCTAATCTCCAGGACGACGGGGATGATGGTGACGACAGGATCAACTGCGAATCCTTTCCGGAAAGCCCAGCACGTATACCTACACCGGAGCCTCCGGGAACCCCGTCCACTGTTACTTCTGCCCCAACTGCACCTCCCACATCTACCATCATCAGGCCGTCATGGGAGACCGGATCATCATCCGAACCATCTTGCTCGACAACGGCGCGCGTATGCCCCCCGCCGGGGAGATCTTCGCGGAAGGGAAGTTGGCGTGGGTTGATGCGCTTCGGGCGGAGCTTGAGAAGCGATAACGCTGGGTTGAACAGCTGATTATTCAATTCATTTTATATTTGTCTTGTTTGGTGAGCATACTTGTTTTACATGTGCGTGTAACTGTGGTTAGATGTTCGATAGGAACAGAATATAGAAATCTGAGATTTTGCTGTCATTAGGTGTACATATTCGAAGAAGTTGATATGTGGTTATATGACATGGAGATTATAGTAGAATAGTTAATAGTAGATGCTATTTAAGGAGAATGTTCAACGCTATGCGCTAAATGCAGGGTCTACTTACTCTAAACCAATCGATAGACCTGTGCGTATGCCGTCGGGTCGAATGCAGCATATGTGACATACCACATCAAAATGAGTCCGGGTGCACAGTGGCAAGGATCTCTCGCAGGCACTTCTGGATGACCTCACACCGCCAGCGTTGACGAGGGTTGGGATCCAGCATACCTCCAATGCAGCTCGCCAAGGTTTCAGCCACCGTATTTCCATTCTTCAACTTCACATCGCCCATGTGAACCTTGTCCATGAAGTCTCTGGGAAGGCATGCTCCGTTGATGGATGCGGTCGGCGGCTTCTTGTACGGGCCCCTGGTCAAAGCATCCAGCACAAGATGACGCTCCATCTTCGTGTTCAAAGGATAAAGCAGCTCGAAAAGAATGATGCCCAAGGAATAAACGTCAAGCGACCAGTCGCAGACATATCGCATGGGCTGCTCCATCCCTACCCCCTGGGCGTATTGGTGGACATACCCGCTTGAGATCATCCCGCTCGAGTCGAGAGGTGGACGATAGAATTCTGTACCAACGATGTGGTGAATTTTCGAGCCGTTCTCTGAGGACTGAGGCGAGCCGTCAGATGAAGGATCGTTCAGATGCGAGATGTCAGCCACGAGGCCGAAGTCGCCGATGCGAGGCTGGCAGTAATGAAGTCCCGGCCCGCCGTCAGATTGACAAGGATGACAACAAGTGTGAGTGTGGTGTTTCTCCGGACAAGAGAGGAAAATGTTGGCCGGTTTGAGATCGCGGTGAATGATGTCCTTTGAATGCAGGTAAAGCACACCGGAAAGAATGTCCACCATCAGTTGCAAGGAGGGAACCAAGTGAAAGCAGTGGCGACGCCGTGGCTTACCCAAGTCATCTGCATGTGTGCTGGGTCGAGGGTTAAGATATGCGTGGAGAGATATCGGATGCATGGACATCTGGATATGCAAGATCACCGCAGGAATTTCAAAACCCCTTCCACGGGTGCGTTGAAGTTGCATGCTCGAAGGGTTGTGACTGAGGCCGTCTGTGAAGATATCTTCATCCGCGCTGCCAAGCGAGCTAGACTGGTCCTGAGAGATATTGTTGGAGATCGAGGGGCCGGCCGAGATGTCGTCGTCTTCGTCGTCCGTGCTCTCTCCAGAGGTGAACTTCGATGTAGAAGTAAGCGGCGGTTGGCCGGAAGCCGAAGTTTCAGACTCCTCAAAGACGATCGCCAGTTTTTTGTTCTGGCTCTCCGCCGTCGACATCTGCGGCGCCATAGAATGGCGTGACAGGTTCTGTTGTGTGGAATCCGAGTCAGTATCAGTCGACGCCTTGAACAGGGAAAGATCGAGTTTACGAAGACCAAGGTATTCAAGGGGTTTTACCTTCTCTGCCCAAGCGCCATAATACCGGACGATATTGGCATGGTCGAGTTTGGCAAGTGTCCGGATCTCTTTCAGGATTTCTCCCAAATGGTGCTTGTTTCCGCCTTCTAGTTGCGCGAATCGTCGCCGACTGACAGGTATCTTCTTGATCGCATAGTCGTGTTCATCCACATGGTTTTTGACGTGGTAGACCTCCCCAAAGGCGCCCCGACCTAGAACACTGATCTCCGTGAACTGTAACGCGTAACGCGACATCTCTTCATCACACGAGTTAGTGATATCGTCGAAAAGGGATGAGCGGGATTCCGTACCCAAAAACGGAGCCAGATGCGGGCTGAATAGGTGGTCGATGTCGGGCTCCTGCAGTGAACCAAGAGAATTGGCATTTTGTCGGAGTTGCGCGTAGTCCGAACGACCTTTATGGAGTGTCAATTCACTAGAGGTCTTCGGCAAAGGGGCCCGGTCCCCAACAGAGGCTGATCTAGGTTGACGATCGTGCAAGTCGAGGCGGTTAAAGGAACGGCTAGCAATCAAGTCCAGCGTATCTCGATAGAGCTGTCTTGTGGGCCTTAAGGCTTCCTTCTCTGCACCTTCGTTCACAATTCCATGCTGGGAGAGGACTTCCGACTGATGAGTGTACATATCATGCCCGAGAGCTATAGCCTCGGGAGAATCCCGCGTGTACTGCCCGTGGGAGCCTGGCTGCGCGTTAAGTAAGTCCGCGGCTCGGCTGAGACAATAGAACTCGAGAAGAGCAGCGGTCATCATCTTTCCATGACCATCAAAATCAGTGCTGTCTCCTACTGACGTAGGCGACAAAACACCCTTCTTCTTCGGCTGATGCCGCTGCTTAGAGCGGACCTCAGGACGAGGGCCCGAGACATGAAGCTCCTGGACCTCCTCATCTGAACTGGACGACGATGAGATCTCCGAGGGTTTTCTAAACATCGACATGATGACAGAAATTCAACAAAAGACGGGAAATAGCCGCTCCGATGCCACACTAAATCAAGGTGGAATGGATATAGTTGGCCAACCAGTGGCCAGTTGACTGAACGATAAGTTTAACAAGTATAAACAAAACGACTGCCGTGACTATCCTGTGTCCGGTTAGCAAGAATGCTATGAGAAGCGGAGAAGCAGGTTCCTCACTCAGTAGCAAAACTGGATTTATATAGGCTCTGAGAGAGAGCACCCTAATTATACAGATTTCTTTAAGCTGCGCGCAGCTGCGAAAAATCCCACAATATGGCTTTGAACGCAATTGGAGAATACCGCCTATGATCAATCAGAAGGATGGCTCCGCTCTGCCCTTTCGTGAGATCATGAAAGGTTCCATCAGATTCCAAAGAGAAATGCCATTGAGAAAAGCGCCAACCGAGGAGGTTGCATTCAACCCCCAAGTGTGTAATACACGATACACGAGGAGATGAACTGCTGAAAGTGACACAGAACGATATGAACACAATGGTCACAAAGATTGTATGACGATAGAAGCGGAATTGCAATTGTATGCAGGATCCATCCAGGTTGGGTTGGCGCGAAGTGGGGTGGGGTTCGAGGGCGAGAGAGCGAGAGAATTGTCAAGTGCATTGAGTCACTCGTCAGTAGTCACAGACTCCTTGGAGGGGCGCCGGCATCCCGCGTTCTCTGCCTCAGGCAATCACGTCTCTCCATTGCCACTCATCATCCCCTGGCCGACCTCGGCCGCAACAACAACTCTTCCAAGTTTCACACCGCGCCCTTCAATGTAGCTGGAGATAGGCTAGTGCTTTGTAGCTCCGAGTATAGACCGGAAATGGTATCGTACCACATCTCACCGGTGCAAAGCGGCTTTGAAGACGGATAAATGTGGGGGTGGATTGGGCAAGAAGCCTGCTAGCACTGGTCACTTTAGCACAGTGGGGGTAGACAACTATACGAGACCGACTGATCTAGGACAGATGCGCCGAGACACACGCGCGGCGAGCTTGGCTGGCTTGGCTCTGCTGGATCATATATAGGCTACAAGCCACTGCCCCTAGGGATGATCTCTGGAGACACAGCACAACTCAATTTTGACCAAGATGCAAGCCTCACACACCACAGACATCGCCGTTATCGGCGCTGGTATCGTGGGTTCGGCCCTGGGATACTTCCTATCTTCCTCCGGAGACGTCGGCAAAAAGATCGTGTTGATTGATCGTTCTTTCGCACCCTTGAAGGGTTCCACCGGCCATGCACCTGGATTTGTTGGCCAGTACAACGAATCGGAGGTCCTGACCCGTCTGGCTCAGGATACGGTCCATGAGTACAGAAAGATCCCCGGTGGATTTGACGTGGTCGGGGGCCTCGAGCTGGCGACTAGCCCTGCAGGAGCGGAGCGTCTGAAACAGCGACATGACTCGGCCAAAAGAGCTGGTCTCCAAGCTGAGCTCCTCTCATCCGAACAAGCAACCAACATGGCCCCTGCCTTGATCAAGGGAGAGTACACCGCCGCGTTGCACTTTGCTGGCGATGGTGCTGCCAACGCCATCAGAATCACTACCTTCTTCCAAGATGAGGCACGGGCGAGGGGCGTGCAACTCCTTCAAGCGGATGCCACGAAGGTTCAACAAGCCAACGGCCAGGTGGAGGGTGTGATGACTACGGCTGGATTCGTCCAGGCAAAGACGGTCATCATCGCGACTGGCATCTGGGCTCCAGAGCTCTGCAGCTTCCAGACTCCCATTCCTATTGTCCCTGTCGCGCATCCCTATATGTACGGGAGGTACCATGAGTTGAGCGAACACAAAGCCCCTTGGGTCAGATGGCCTGAGCACCACGTCTATGCCCGTGATCACGGTACCTTCTATGGGCTAGGCTCCTACGACCACCCGCCACATGCGCAGCAGCCGACCGAGACGGCCATCGGAGACTGGATTGAAGATTTCAGCGCAACATTGGATACCGCTATGAAATTCATCCCGGAGTCGACAAATCTGGAGATTAGGGAGAAGTTCAACGGTATTTTCTCGATGACGCCAGACAACATGCCACTCGTGGGAGCTGTTGCTGAGGTGGCTGGGCTGTACATGGCTGCAGCTGTTTGGGTGACTCATGCAGCTGGGTCGGCCAGATTCTTGACAAAACTGATGAAGGGAGAGGCTGTTGATAATACCTTGAAGGAAGCTTTGGATCCCAACAGATTCCAGGGACGCGAGATGAAGGAGTTGACACAGGAGTCTTTGGATGGGTACAACCATATCTATAAGACCGTTGCAAGCTCGGAATGAGCCCCGATGTATGATAATGATTTTAGCGCCTATCACCAACAATGATACTTTCTCCCAGTCGCAAATATCCGTACGTGTTCAGAGCTTCGCACGGTTGTCCGAGGAACCTTTGTACTGAATAGCAAAGCTATAAGCTGGGTCATAATGCATGTCCCAATACTTATCCCATATCATTCTTGTCAGCGGCCCAACCTTCCCATCACCAACCCTCCGCCCGTCCAAGGTTGTGATGGGCATGATACCTCCAGCAGTTGTGCACATGAAGATCTCATCAGCCTGATAAGCCAGCTCAATTGGTGTCGGCTCCAAGCGAACCGGAACTCCCGCCCCATGCGCAATTTCCATAACACTCTTACGCGTGACCCCATGCAGCACCCCTCGATCAGGAGTATAGAGCACCCCCTCCTTAACCAGAACGATATTATACCCTGATCCCTCGGTAAGATGCGCATCCCCGTCCGTCAAGAACGGATATGTCGCCCCTCGATCCGCCGCCTCCAGCGCCCCACGAATCAAATCCCCCCATTGCAGATTCTTGACTGTCGGATCAATTGCTCCAGGTGGGACACGTCGTACTGTGCGTGCGACAATCGCATGCCCGCCCTTCCGCTGCACCTCTGGCTCCATCACCCAGACATACGGCTTGATGAACACATACAGATTATTTGTGAGGCTGAGGGGGTCTTTGCTACCCCTGATGCCTTGCAGACCGCGCGTGACAATAAGCTCGACATATGCGTCGCGAAGGTCGCTGCGGATCACCATATCTTTAAGGATGCGCTTGATTTCGTCTCGTTGGATAGGCAGCCTCATGCGTAGTTTCGCACAGCTGAGCTCTAACCGCGAAAGATGGTCGTCCAGGCGGAAGAAGCGCCCGTCCCAGACGACGGGGACGTCGTAGGTCAAGTCGCCGTGGATGAAGCCTTTGTCGAGCAAGGGAATGCGAGCTTCATGGAGCGGAATGAGGGTGCCTTCAATCCAGGCGATGCCTTGAATGAAAGGGTTGCTGGTAATGGCTTCGAAAGCGGCTTTGCGGGCAGAGTAGCCGGCGAATATCTTATCCATGGTGGCCATAATGGTGGATACGAGGAGAAGGACTGTATGATTGCCTGAATGTCGTTGATTTCGATCTGGATGCACTGATAGTGTGTTGACGAGTCTCGAAAGGAGGGGAAAGGATGTGAGGGGAACGCAAGACTTATAAGAATTGCATATCAATGCAGATGCCATGCTTATCTCTCGCTCCTCACTCGCTGAGCTCCTCACAGTGACTAACACAGCACGTGGGCGGCATTCATTCCCTGAAGTCAAATAAAAGTCTTGTCAAACTGGCTGGGATGGGCTTGTCAGCCCATGGATAGAATGATGTATAATAGTCTGTTGTGAAGCGCAGCTTGCTCTGCTTGCATTTTGAGCACTGGATATCTACAGAGGCTGGTATGTGGGTCGTTGTACCTAGAAAGACACGGAAAAAATCAAGATATGTTCTTTCATAGAGTTAAAGGTGCATACAAACCTGTTAAGAGCGTGGGGAGCCAAGTGATGTCCCCATGGTGTCAAGCCGCGAAGGTTAAATTGGGCCACTCCAGACTCTGCTGCAACCCGCCCACCAACCGCGCGATGGCTTTCAAAGGGCGTCCAATAGTCAGATTATATGCTGTCATCAATTGCTCCGCTGCATTTCCACTACGCCAGCTCTAGCCTGTTTTGGTATTGACACGATGTAGCTCAGAGGAGCCAAATTGACTCTGGCGAAGGTAAGTCTGGGGTGAAGTGCTCTGATTGAGCGGATGAAAGCTGGCAGGGCCTCGCCATTTCCCCGACAGTAGGTATACTACCTAACTTCTCGAGTAAGCTCACATCGGATGTGCCCTTTCCGTCGAAGCGGCTTGCATATCGCACGGACTCAGTTACTAGGAAAAATGGGCTATTGCTAGCTATATGACTCACAACTTTGTTGTTGCGGACGTGTTTGTGCAGAAGGATAGAGGGCAGCCATGAGCTATTAATTCCTGCAAGCAAGGCTATAAACATGGGAGAGAGGTATAAAAAAGGCCCTGAGCACCCCCGATGCTTCGATCAACATAACCCTTGTTACTTCAATGCTAATCATGGCTTCCCAAGCGAGCAATCACCCACTCAAGCATGTCTGCCCACACATACTGTCACTGCTTTCCAAGCTGCACAATCATTCAGCCGCACAGGAAGCCCACATGACTTGGGATGACTTCGAACCTGAAAGTGTCGATCAGATAATGCGAGACAAGTTCGTTGCTATCGAACAAGATAAAGCCTACTTTCTCTACCAAATGGGTCTTGCAACCGGCGCTAAGACTATTGTCGAGGCTGGTACATCCTACGGTGTGAGCACCATCTATCTCGCCCTGGCCGTTGCATCCAATGTCGAAGTTACGGGTGGCCCAGGAAGAGTCATCGCAACGGAGCATGAGCCCGAAAAAGCCAAGAAGGCTCGAGAGCATTGGAATGCGTGCGGTAACTCTGTCAGCGAAATCATCGAGCTGCGAGAGGGTGATATCAAGGAGACTTTGAAACACGACTTGGGAACGGTAGACATGCTATTGTTGGATAGTGAGTGATATGAGACCCTGAGACAGTCTAGGCTTGTGCTGATAGTGACAGTCTGGGGCCCGATGCTGCTTCCAGTCTTGAAATTGGTCCAGCCGGCACTGAGACCGGGTGCTGTCATCATTACCGACAACACGATTAGTGCTGCAGAACATTGCAAAGAACTCCTTGACTACATGCGTGCGCCTGGAAGTGGTTTTCGGAATTTCACACTCCCGTTCAACAATGGACTCGAGATGAGCGTATATCAGCCGCAAGGATCACAGTGACGGTATGGGAAGAATAAATTGTTGGATAGGCAGCTAGCAGTGGTGTGCTAAGAGAACAAAGCGTCAATCGAGTCGTCCTGGCCGTGTAGGAGCTGTGTATGAAGCTGTCCTTTAATAAAAGCCTCGTTAGCAACGAACAGCGACCCCTACAAGAAGGTGGCCAAAGACGAATTGTAGTGTAGAAGCACAAAAGGCGCTGTGTCATTCCATATAATCAAGATGAGTCCATTCCTACAGCCGAACTTGCTATTTATCGAAGCTACTCCGTGTAAGCAATATGATCGCTGCTGAGTCAATTCTTGGGAGGGCCTCGGTTTCGACATGTAAGTTAGCCATGGCGGCAACGAAGCCGGAGATAATGCGGAGTCGATCTTCATTCCCCCAGGCATATCATCACGTGATACTCACACTCTACGCGTAGCGGGTGTCACGTCACGGCGCGAACGGGACACGAACTTTCATTAATCGGAGCGCAATTGGTTTCCCGCGACACCAGCATTGCCGCCCCAAATCTCCCAACCAACAAGCATTTCAATCTTACTTTACGCTTCAGTCAAGCACATCTGTATTCTCCTCTCGTGATATATGAGCAGTCACAATGCCTGAAGCCGTCACCATGCCCCAGAAGCGGGTTCTGGGCGAGGCAACAAACAATCCTCGCAGCAGCGGTCTAAAGTCACCAACTGCGCTGAAGAAACGCAAGCTTGAAAATGGGCCATCTTTCAGAAGCAGTCATGGCACCCAGGCCCAGCGAAAGGTTCCCGGCTCTAGTCAGCCACAGAAGAGCCAGTTCGAGGAGGAAGTTCTCGAGAAGCTGACTCAGGACATGAATGGGTTGAAGCAAAACAATTCAGAAAAGGATCAGCAGTGGGAGCGACCGCCGCTCGGTGAGTTCGATGCTTCGAAGGATAGTATTTGTTTCCAACAGATCGATGCGGAGGAGGGTGCAATCCACGGAGGAAAGACCGCGGTTCGCCTTTTTGGTGTCACAGAGGTATGGTCGCGCAGCTGTCCTTCTCTATGGTGTTTGCTTATATCTCTAATAGGCCGGTCAATCCGTTCTGCTCCATGTCACTGGTTTCCAACATTATTTATACATCGCGGCACCTGTCAACTTCACAAAAGATGATTGCGAGCCCTACCGAGCGTTTCTCGAAAGTCGGATCGGACAGTTTCAACCCACAATTCAGTCGGTACAGATAACGATGAGGGAAAATATTTATGGCTTTCAAGGTAACCAAAAGAGTTACTACCTCAAGATTACTGTTACGGAGCCGAAGCACATCAGCAGGTTGCGGGGAGCCTTGGAGAGCGGAGGTGCGCAGAGTCTCAACTACAAGGGACTCTGGAATAACTCTGATGGCGGTATCCTTACATTCGACAACATCCAATACCTCCTCCGGTTTATGATTGATGTAGACATTTCGGGCATGTCATGGGTTGAGGCAAAGGCCGGAAAGTATCGGCTGTTTGGTCCTCGTGAGAAGATGTCGAACTGTCAGATTGAAGCGAGTATAGATTATCGCGATCTGATCTCACATCATCCAACCGGCGAGTGGGCTAAGATGGCACCCCTTCGCATTCTGTCTTTCGATATTGAGTGCGCCGGTCGTAAGGGAATCTTTCCGGAACCGAATCAGGACCCCGTCATCCAGATTGCAAATGTTGTTACTCGTTACGGAGAGTCGAAGCCTTTCATTCGCAATGTCTTCGTCTTGGATACATGCAGTCTTATCGTCAACACTCAGGTTTTGGAGTTCCAGGATGAGTCCAAGATGCTCATGGCCTGGCGCGACTTTGTGGAGAAAGTGGATCCAGACGTCATTATTGGATATAACATAGCCAACTTCGACTTTCCATATCTTCTGGACCGTGCCAAACATTTGAAGTGTACTGGTTTCCCATATTGGACTCGACTCAATGGGGTGGCGTCTCAAGCCAAGGAAACAAATTTTTCCAGCAAACAAATGGGCAACCGTGACACGAAATCGACAAACACCAATGGCAGAATCCAGTTAGATCTTCTCCAGCTGGTACAGAGAGATCATCACCTGCGAAGTTATACACTGAACTCCGTTTCCTACGAGTTCCTGGGAGAACAAAAGGAAGATGTGCATCACACGATGATCACCGAGCTATATAACGGCACGCCGGATTCCAGGCGACGCTTAGCGGTTTACTGTTTGAAGGATGCCTACT